ACCCACTCACCCATCCATCCACCCACTCACCCATCCATCCATCAACCCACCCACCCATCCATCCATCTATCCATCCGTTCATTTATTTATTTTTTATTACCTTATAAGTCAGTGTAACAAACTAAACTTTAGAAGGCTGTGTACTAGAAAACAGTGTAGTTTACTGCAATTTTAAATATTATAAATTTGTAGYTGAGAATTTGGTTTATGATTGCTGCAGGTACCAACTGATTATTTTTGATTGATGGAAGTGGAAAGACACATTTCAAAGTGTAGTTCGAAGCAGTTTGAGTTAGCATGATAATAACAACTGCTATTAAAATATTTTTTCCTTCATAAACAAGGTATCACATTGCATTGCATTGCATCACATCACAACACATCACATCACACACATCACATCACATCACATCACATCACATCACATCATTTTATCACATCACACACTTCACATCATATTGTATGACATCACATCACATTGCATTGCATCACATCACATTGTATCACATCACATCAAATTGTATGACATCACATTGCATCACATCATATCACATCACATTGTATGACATCACATCACATCACTCCACATTGTATGACACCACATCGCATCACATCACATCACATCGTATGACATCACATCACACCACATGAAATCACATTGTATGACACCACAACGCATCACATCACATCACATCACATCGTATGACATCACATCACATCACATGAAATCACATTGTATGATATCACATCACATCACATCACATCACATCACATTGTATGACATCACATCACACCTCATCACATCACATCACATCACATTGTAAGACATCAAAACACATCGCATTGCATCATGTTGTATCTTAATGTTATTTTCTGTTTGTTTTGTGTAGGATCAGTTGTGGAGAAACCCTGATTCTGGTCTGACAGCATACTCACTTGCCATGCTTAACAATGTGAGCTACAATGTAGTGGAGTTTGCCAAGTCACAGGTTCGTTCCTTTATGAAGCATTGTTCTTTGATTAGCGTGCTTCCATCAAGTTTTGGATGCACTCCGGAGGTTTCTAAACATGAAGGAAGCTTGAAGAGTCACACAATGCGTAGTTGAGTACAACTCTAGCTTCTTGAGTGCTTGAGCAGCCAACCAAGTGCAGCCACAACTCCATGGAAACATTCTAATCAATAACCAATGCTTTTGTAACATTGCAAAAGTGTTTAAAAAAATCTTCATCAATTGAGAAAAAGTTTTTTAAATGTTTTCATTAGACATGTCTAGCCATAATTATTTTTAATTAATAAATTGAAACTTTATTTAATTGAGCAAGATTTGTGATAGATCAATAGTAGGTTTAATAGTCTAATTCTAAATATTCTTTCTAGGTTGAGTGGATGAGTGACAAAATCATGAAAGCATTTGAAATAGGAAGAAATAACCCTTATCAGTTCAGGTGATAGACCATTTTTGAGTTCCAAATTTCCACTGTATTCCTTGATTACAGACTCAGTTTCGCAGGGTTAGCCTAATATCAGTGTCCAAATATTCACAAATACCAACAGAAAAGAAAAGAATGTACTCTTTCAACAATGCAAGCAGTTTGAAATTCCATGGACCTTCACTGGAACAAATGAATATTTTACACAAAATCGCGGCTAAATCTGAGAACTTGAAACTGGAGTATTCAATTTAACTGTAAAAATATATCGATTAATTATCTATTTATTTAAAAATAAATCTATCTCTGAATATACTAAATATATTTGTTTAGTAAAAATACACAGGTGATTATTGAAAATCTTGTGCGCTGATTGGTCGAGAAACTCACACTATCACATGATAATCACCTCCAGCGATAATCCAAAATGGCGGCAAGCCACTTTGTTGCTGTTACTGGAAAAAAATGTCTTTTATCTTCTTTTTCTTCTTTTTTGTTGTTGAAAGAATCGCATGGGTATTTATACTGAAACAATTATTCGCCAAGGGCGAAGTGAATATTGGAGAATATTTACCTCCCCGCTCGAAGTCTCGCGTCTCGGTAAATATTCCATGATATTCACTTCACCTTCGGCGAATAATTGTTAAATAAACTATCTATGAATATATGCTTATTTATATTTATTAGCAATGATTGAGAAAGTACTTTAATATATGGCATCCCTTTGTTTTTTCTCTCTCCAGATATTGTACATTATGCCACAGTCTTGCTGATCTTGCAAAGATACCAGAGCCTAAGGTATTTTCTCATCTTTTACAGTATGTCACTCACCAGGGATTAAAATAATCGCCCATCATCGGACAATGTCTTGCCAGAGTTGGAATTTGTCTGGTCAAATCCTTGCCTTGCCAGTCATTTTGACCAGTATGTACTGCAGTAGTGTTGAGCTAAAATTAATTTCAATTGAAAAATAATCTTGACTGGCAACTAACCAGCTATTATTTTAAGCCCTGCCGACAATCACTAGTAGCAGTAAGCACCCCTTCATTATCAAATTTTGATGATGATGTGATTGATGATGATGATGATGATGGTTGTAATGATGATGATGGTGATGATGATGACGGTGATCACGATTCAAAAATCTAAATCAAAACTCGAGTTTGAATTTAGCAAAACCTCAAATCAAGGGAGAGACCTAACAAACTCTTTGCATTTGATGACAAATCAAACCCAAGACCGCRGAGGTGAAAGGCGAGTGTATTACTGCTATGCCTCCCTTGATTCCTTAAAACTAACACCTAACTTTGGCTAATTCCTCCAGGTTGTGCTGGCCAGTATGATGGATTTGACATGTGGATTTTCACGGGATTTGTTTGTAGAGTGGGCAGAGAACCCAAAGAATACAGTCATTTTTACTGCCCGATCGTCACCGGGTACTCTTGCACGAACCTTGATTGAACACTTGGAGACAAAACAAGTTGATCTAGAGGTACTTGGATTTCATGACTTTTCAGTCGGAAAGCATGTTCAAGCAAAAAATAATGTACTATAAGGATACCCAAACCATTAAGTCCAGAAAATTCTAGTTATTTCTTCCAAAACGGCATGCAAGATTGTCCATGGAAAGTCATTCAGATTGTACGACCAATGTCAGCAAATCATCCCTCCCTCTCCTCCCCTCCCCTTCCCCCCTCCCCTCCCCTCCCCTCACCCCTCCAATACTTATGCATGTAACAATGAAACTGCCGATTGAAAGGGAGTCTCAGGTACCCTACCCCCTCCCCCTAGATACATTCCTCTATGGGGTGGTGATAGACAAGATGGTAAAGTGTCCGTAGTTGGTTTACCTTCAGTGGGCTTATAGTCATACTCCAAGATGTTCTGATCAGGCCCTCCACTAAGTCCCAAAATATTAAATAAGAAAGATCATGGTACATGTAGTCTTAAAGTGCAAATGAACCCTTTGGCAATACTTTCAGGACTGATTTTACATGAAGTAAATTATTGAATGGTAAAATTTTCTTGATTTGAGTGATGCATCTCTAAGTTATGAAGGTTTATACTTCCAATATGCTAATGATGTGACGTCTATTAAGGCTTAATTAACTATACAAAATCGTAGATACAGTATTCAAAAAGCATCATTTACTCATGGTTTACATAAAAGCTATTTAAAATTTGTATTTTCAAAATGGCCAGCATTTAGTATTACTAGTTACAACAAAAACACTCAAATACCTTACCTGACGTCATCATCATTAACATATTGGAAGTATAAACCTTCATAACTTAGAGAAGCATCACTCAAACCAAGAAATATTTTACCAATCAACTGTTTCCTTTATGCAGAACCAGTACTGAATGTATTGTCAAAGGGTTCATCTGCACTTTAAGCCAGAGAATGCTTAGTTACTGTAGCACTCTCTAATCTCCGAAAATGAAAACACTGTGTAATGGTCTTTTCTCAGATAAAACAGAGAGTGCGACTAGAAGGGGAGGAGTTGGAGAAGTACATGGAAGAGGAGAAAAAGAAAGAGAAGCATAACATTGATGGCACCAATAGAAAGTGAGGGTTTTTTTCCCAATTTATTTAGTATTTTTTATTTTTTATTTTTACATTTTATTTATCTATTTTTTTTATTATTTTTTTTTTTTACATTTTATTTTTATTTTATTTTATTATTAAATAATATAAAACATAAGCTCATTTTATTCTTATTTTATTTATTTATTAAACAATATAAAATATAAGTGCCTATATGTCTGTAGTGTGTTATAAACATGCTGGGAGCTGTAGAGGCATTGCCAAGTGTTTCTCTTGCTTTTCAAGTGCTCTACAGCTCTCAGGGTGTTTATATCTACCATAGACTGATTTGTTGCTAGTGCATAAAAAGAATTTAAAAAAATGCAAAAGCAATATTAAAATCAAACCTTAAAATTAGTGTGTTATTATCAAACAATTTCATAATAGGGTTAAAATTACTCATTGATAATTCATGAAGGAAACACAATAGAAATCATGAACCTGAAGGAGGTTTTATATCTGATATAGATTCGTCTTCATTTGCATAAACTTTAACTTGGATTTTCTCTATCAAACTTGGTTCATTTCACTAAGAATTCGGTACAATAATTACACCCTAATGAAGAGAAAAATGTTGGAACAGATTACTTAATTTCTTTGATTGGCAGTAGAAATATAGCATTGAAAGCAGTGGTGAAGTTGACGCAGGAGTTTTTAAATGTCTATCTTTTTCCATACAGGTCCCTTGTCGTGGAAGAGAGTGACAGTGACAGTGATGATGAACAAGAGATTTCAGATAAACATGATTTGATGATGGCAGTAGATAAGGTTAGCATCTACCATGTTTATTTTGCTTGTCTGTTTGTTTGTTTTTTTGTTTATGATAGTAAGAAATGATAATAAGAAATGTTTTGATAATAACTATAATCAGCATAGCTGAAATGTTGATGTTCAATTTTTATGGGCCACAGAAGGGGTG